CCTTGGACAACCTTCAGTATTTCTGGGGTTATGAAGGAGTTGTGTAAATGTCCCCATCATTCACATGAAGCTCCTGGAACCCTGGATCACTGTGTGATGTTTGGGTGTCACTCTCCAGCTGGACCAAGATACTCAGTTAACTTCTAGCACCTGTGAATCTGTGCTTTCTTTTCACTGAGATATTGCAGATGTAAGAGGTGAAATATTCCTGTTGCAGGGCTGGTGCAGTTTGATGAGTTTCTGTCCACCAAGGAGATGAGAAACAAATGGGAAGAAATTGTTGCAGACACAATTATTGTTCCTGAATTGGAGGTGAGAAATCTGCTATACAGAGTTAGTAGCTGAGCAGTTCAAAATCCACTGGAAATCTGATGTGCTGTAATATCTGTGCTGCACTTTTCACTGTTCCTAAAGCCAGCCCATCCATGGCACAGCTGCAGGTTAAGGATTAGCCACCTTTATCTACCTGGGGAAATGGGAGCCTGAGACTGGAGTTGCTCTGGCATGAATTTGTATAGCTGGAAAAGCAGAAATGGCTTAGCTCAGCTGAAGGTATTTCCCACTATCCAATAATTTATTCTTCTTTTAATGCAGGATTTAGATAAAAAGCTTCTCAAGTTAAACCGCCAGATCCAAGAGGATGAGAGAATCTCCTCCAACCCCATAGTGAAGATAGTGTATGGGGACCCAGCTGCATTCCTGTCCCAGCTGCCAGGGGACAGCCACGTCCACCACTCCAAGATGTGGAGCTGCCGCAGGAGGGTTTCTGTGGAGAACCTGGGCCACGTTGTGCAGCAGAAGAATGCCAAGGACACCGTCCCTCTCCTCTGGAAGTTCCTGCAGAAGGTGGGGCTGGCACAGGGCTGAGAGCCTGGCATTGCCCAGGACTAAACCACGTTTGGATATCTCAGTACTTGCTGTGATCTTGAGAAGGAACATGGAAGATATTGTTGTCTAACATTTAAGAAGTAACTCCATAAAAGTATTCCCAACTGGTGTGTCCAAGCACATACTTACCCACAGGCTCCCTTTCCTCTTCCAGGAAAATGAGCTGAGGCTGGTGAAATTCCTGCCAGAGATTCTGGCTCTGCAGAGGGATTTGGTGAGGCAGTTCCAGAACACAGCAGAGATCAAACACTGCTCCATCAGGGAATTCCTCAGGGAGCCCCACTCAGGTGAGGAGATGCTGCCAAAATTGTAATTAATGAAAAAGAAAGTGCTGGATTGTCCAGTTGAAAGTGAAGGGGAAAACTCACCTTTTCCTTTTAACTCTCACCCAAATGAACTGAGACTTGGATAGGGTTGGAAAAGTTACCAGGTGACTTTCAAGGGAATTAAGTACAGGAGATTTTTTTATGAGGGGTGGGAGCTCTGTGCAGTGCAGCAGTGGTTCTGTGGGCATTTTAAGCTCAGCCCTAGAGCAGGGCTTGCCTAAAGAATGGAATGAACATTCTTCCCTTTCTTTCATGAAGTTTGTGGCAACTCCTTCAATCGTATTTAAGTACAATTACTGATGCTTTTAAGTACTTATGGAAAAGTACATAAAGGTCATGCAGGAGCAGACAATAATGGAAAAGTAACAAACTGAGCCAATGACTCCATTTGATACCTTTAGAAAGGTGTCTGGTGTCTGTTCAGTCTCTTGAACAGTTGCCTGGAGTTCAGTGGTGTGCTCTGAAGATCCCTGTATTGGAGAGTTTCACCAGTAAAAGGTGTTTTGTGGATTTATCTTTTTGTTGTCTCTCAGATGTGATGAGGGACCTGTTAGAGAGGAGAGTGAATGTGTTTCTATCTGTCTGGAACAAGCTGAGAAGCTCCCTGGACACCAATGGTGAGCAGCTTCTTTCCCAGCCCCGCTCCTTGTTCTGAGTTCAGGTTCCTCCCATCACTGATGCTGAGGCATATCCTCAAAACTGAGCTTGGCCATTGAATTTTAAGAATGTAGGTACAAGGGGAGGGATTTGTTTCCCTGTTGTACTATTCTGACCTGGACTTGTTTCCTTTCTCACCTGAACCTGTTTCCTTCTGTGCTTGTCCCTAACAGCGAGCACATGGCTTTTCTCAGCTTGGTACCTCCTCCTGCCCTGGCTCAGCCTGGGTGGCTCTGGCCCCCTCAAGCACTGCTCTCTGTATTCCAGGGGAAATCAAGCTGCCCAAAGGCTACTGTGATGCTGAGCTGAGCCTGGACAGCAGGCTGGAGGTGCTGCTGCCGCGGCGCCAGGGGCTGGGGCTGTGCTCCACGGCGCTGGCCAGTTACCTGATCGGGCTGCACAACGACCTGGTGCACTCTGTCCACAGGCACACCAAGGAGGATGACAGGTGTGCTGCTGCCTGGGCTCTGCTGCATCCCCTGCTCCCTCTCAGGCAGCTTTCCCTGCTCCCCAGAGGCCTCTCCCTCTGACCACGAGCCCTTTGCTCCCTGCAGGTACCGGGTCAGCCCCGCGGAAGTGGCCGACCTGCACCTGATCAGCTACGAGGTGGAGAGGGACCTGATCCCTCTGATCCTGTCCAACTGCCAGTACAGCATGGAGAAGGGAGGGGAGACCTTGCAGGACTTTGATCTGGAGAGGATCCAGCAGCAAGTGATCAGCAAGTTCCTGCAGGGGAAGCCACTGATCACGCTGACGGTAGGAGGGGCAGGGCTGTGCAGCCAGGGGAGCTCTGGGAGCAGCATTCCAGGGTTTACATCCATGGGTTTCTGTCCTGACAGGGAATCCCCACCCTGGTGCACAGACACGACCGGAACTACGAGCAGCTGTTCAGTGATGTCAGGAACAAGCTGGAGCAGGTGGGTTCCTGCACTGCAGGAAGCAGGGCAAGCATGAAATCCCTGCTTTTCCAAGGGTTTTCTGTGCCTTCCTTTGTCCATCCAAAGGCTTGCCTGCTCATTTTTCAGCATGCCTTGGGTACTTGCAATCTGGCCTTGTGCTGTCAGTCAGGATTTACAAAGAGAAGGGAAATGTTGAAATAGTTCAGCATTTCAGTTTCCTAAATCTGGGGCTCTGTTGTCTTCCTTGACTTGAGCAATTGGAACAGAAAAAGGAATGGCTCCAAAACAATATCAAGTGTGACTTTGTGGTTTTTAGAGTGCTCTGCCCAGTTCTGTGATGAACATGATCAGTGGGGAGCTGCAGTCCTACAGTGATGTGTGTGATGCTCTGTCCCTCACTGAGATCACCCTGGGCTTCCTGGCCATGGCTGGTGAGAACGCTGACATGCTGCTGACTGAGTACATTGAGCAAGTTCTGCAGATGGGGGATCAGACAAACCCTCACGTGCTGCAGGTGAGTCCTGAGGGCACAGCTCAGACCTTTGTGGGGTAAAATCTGGTTTAGCCTGTGTGACAGAGCCCTCTCACTTTCCCTCTGCCTGTCGTGGTATCAAAACCTGGATTATTGAGGGCAGCTGGGGAAGGGTGAGAGGGCTGGATGAGCTCTCCTGGGCAGGCTGGGGACGGGCTCCAAGGACATCCCTCACATCCACAGCTGTCCTTCTCTTCCAGGCCCTCAGACGGTGCCAGCTCAGGCACAGCATGGCCCTGTGGCAGCTCCTGTGTGCCCACAAATCCGAGCAGCTGCTGCGCCTTGGCAGGGTATGGCACCCCCAGCACCGCTGTGTGAGCTCCTCTGCTCTGCCCTGCTCTGCCTGCAGCTGCTCAAATGTGTCCTTGGGTTTCTTCTCCCCTCACTGCATTTTTAGGATCCTTTTGCAGATGTCAGTCCAGACTACAAAGAAGAGCTCACCCCAGAGCTTGCCAAGCTCCTGCACGCATTCCTGGTCCACTCCAGGCTGGAAACCTTCCTGCAGGAGCTCCATGAAATGATCATCCTGAAGCTGAGACGTGTCCGAGCTGTGCAGGAATTCAAACCCACCTGGAGGTAGGAGTTGCACACCCAAAGCCACCACAGTTGTTGTTAAGTGAAGCTCCTCTGCCTCTGAGTGTGCACGCAGTGGGAACACTCCCTTGGCACATGTGTGGCCTGGGGGACACGGCCCAGGCAGCAGCATTAGGAATATCCACACTCATTTCTGGCAGGTGTCACTTCCATCTCACACAGGCTCTCTGGGGACACTGCTGGAACACTCCAGGAGCTGCTGGCCAGGGCACAAACACCAGCACTACTGCAGGCACTTGGATAAAATAATAACAGAATCACAAACTCATTAAGGCTGGAAAACCTCCATGATGATCAAGGCCAGCCTCCAGGGATAGGCACAGCTCAGCCCCAGAGCTCAGCTCTGCCCTGCAGCCTCCCCTCGCTGGGCTCTGTGCCTCCATCTGGCTGTTTAACCCTTCTCACTACACACACACCTGGTCACTTGTGGCTATTGAGTATTTCAGGTGGTGCACTGCACTCATACTGTGGCACTTGAGGGGTTTTTCAATCTGTTAATGCCATTCTGCTCTGTCTTCCAGCTTGAAGGAATCACTCTTGCCTTACCTTGATGACAAAGACTCTGAATTAGCTCCGGAGCTGGAAGACACATTCCCAGATGAGATTCTTCTGTCTCATGCCACTGGTACCTGGAAAGCAGCTGCTGTCTTCAAGAGGGAGCACAGGGACAGTTAGGACAGAGCCCTGCCAGGGACTGCCACAACACCGTGTCAGGGCTTCTGCCACTCTGGGCATTTGTTTGGGGCTTGTTGGTTGTTCTTTGGGTTTGGGGTTGTTGTTGTTTTTATATCTGATGTGAAGAGTGGCCGTGGACGAGGGTGAAATAGACCCAGCAGCTCGCTGCGAACCCTGGATCGCCACAGCTCCAGAGCCACTGGTGGAACATGAAGGATTTTTTTACAAGCCATGGTGCCGTCGTGCCGGGCAGGGTTGATGTTTTCCTGCCTGCCTCTCTGCGCTGGCTGCAGAAGCGGCTCCTGCCCGGTGCCCCCCATGCGGCTCCTTCGCTGCTTTCGGCCCGGCCCGGCCGGCTTCTCCCCTCCCTTTAAATAAACTTGTTCAGCTCCCGCGCCTGCTCCCGGCTCCTTCTGGGATCGGGGCCGGGGTCCATGCCGCGATCGGTACCGGGATCGGGGCCGGGACCCGAGACGCGATCGGTGCCGCCGGCCCGGAACGGCCGCGCCCCGGCCGCGCTTTCCGGGGAGCGTTGGCGCTGCGGGACGGGCGGGCCCGGCGCCGCCATGGCCGCGTCCCCCGCCCAGCGGCGCCGCTGGAAACGGTAACGGGGCTGGGAACGGAGCTGGGAACGGGAACGGGGCTGGGAGCGGTAACGGCGGTCGGGCTGGGACGGGCAGGGACCGCCTGGCGGCGCTTCTGGGAGCGGTAACGGGGCTGGGGACATGGCCGGGGCTGGGAGCGGTAACGGGGCTCGGGGCTGCCCGGTACCGCGTCCCCACAAGGCACGGGCACCCTCGGGAAGAGCCGCCGGTGCTCTGCCCCCGGCTGGGGTTTGGGGCTCCCCGGGGAGGGGACGGGGCTCGGTGCGCGGCCCGCTGTGAGCGCAGCCGGCCCGCAGGGAGCAGGCCCGGCTGAGGGCCAGCGTGCTGGAGGAGGACACTGAGCCCTGGCAGAAGGAGCCGCAGTTCTCGGGGCTGCACAGAGTGGGAGGCGTGGATTTATCCTACAGCAAAGAGGACGAGAGCCGAGCCTGCGCCTCCCTGGTCGTGCTCAGCTACCCGGATCTCGAGGTACCACCGGCACGGGGCTCTGGGGCGGCGGGAGGTGGATATGGGGAGGAATGCTCACGGAGAGGGTCGGCAGGCCCTGGCACAGGCTGTGGCTGCCCCTGGGTCCCTGGCAGTGTCCCAGGCCGGGGTGGACACGGCCTGGAGCAGCCTGGGACAGTGGAAGGTGTCCCTGGCTGCCCCAGGTGCTGTACCAGGACTGCCGCATGGTGCCCGTCACTGCCCCGTACGTGGCTGGGTTCTTGGCCTTCCGAGAGGTCCCTGTCCTGGTGGAAGCTGTGCAGAGACTTCAGCAGGAAGAGCCCCAGCTCCAGCCTCAGGTGTGCTGTGTTTCCCTTGTCCTGAGCTGCTGGGCTGGGAGGGGCACGGGCAGAGCTGTGCTGGAGCATCCATTCCCTTTCCTTGGGGAGGCAGGAATGTGGATCTGGGAGCAGCCAGGCCTCCTGTGGGAACCCATGGTGTGTGCTGGGCACTGCCAGTCCCACACTGCTGCTGCTTCAGGGACAGGCAATCAGGGGAGAATTGAGGAACCAAGAGAGATTCCTCCTTCCCTCAGAGCCAGCATCCCTGCTTGCTCCTTGGAGTGCTCTCGGTACGCAGGAAATAACATTTCTCCTTTGGCTTTTTCAGGTGCTTCTGGTAGATGGGAATGGCCTGCTCCATCCCAGAGGTAGGCTGTTCCTGGAGAGCCCTGTGCTGCTCCTTGGTGTTCCTGTTCCCTGGTATCCCACAGCTACAGTGGCTCCTTGTTGGCAGAATTTGGCATAGCCTGTCACCTCGGAGTCCTGACAGACCTGCCGTGCATTGGCGTGGCCAAGAACCTCCTGCACGTGGATGGCTTGGTCAGGGATGAGCTGCACAAGGAGCAGGTTAGGCCAGGCTGGGATTTGCTTTTTCACATCCCAGGGGAATTTGGACAGCCACCTACAATGATGTGCTAATGAGCTGATGTGTGTGTGTGTGTTTATCCCTAGGTTCGTTCCCTGCAGAGGTCAGGAGAGGCATTCCCACTGACAGGTGCCTCGGGGAAGGTCCTGGGCATGGTAAGCTGTCACTTGGCCCCTTGCCCCTCTCCACAGTGGGGCTGTCTCAGTGATCCCCTGCGGGAGGGCAGGTGTGAGCAGGTGACCAGGGCACTGCTGGCCCCTTCCTGGGAGCTCAGGTGGCTGCAGGGAGCTGGCAGCTCAGGTGCTGGGAGCATTCCTGTCCGTGGCTGTGGCACGGAGGTGCTCCAGCAGCCTGGATGGTGAGCTGCAGCCTGGGAGAGGTGCCAGTTCCCTGGCAGCTCCCTGGGATCGGGCTGGGAGCGGCTGATTCAGAGCAGAGCGGGAACAGGCAGCTGGGAGACACTTCCTGTGGGTGCTGTCAGCATGGGCTGGCACAGCTCCTGCATCCCAGAGCAGCCTTGGGCGTCTGGGGCAGGGCCACGGGGACAGACAGGAGACATTGGGATGGGGAAAGTGTTCAGGAAGGCTGGGAGCTGCAAACACGGCGCTGCCACCACCCTACCCGAGGGCTCTGGCTGGCTCCTAACTCCACTGCCCCTGTGTGTGTGTTCAAACGAGCCTCTCCAGTGCCTGATCTCTCCTTTCTGGCTGCCCAGGTGCTGCGGAGCCACAGCAACAGCTCCAGACCCCTGTACGTGTCCGTGGGCCACCGGGTGAGCCTGGGCACGGCCGTGGCCCTGGTCAGGGCCTGCTGCCGCTTCCGCGTCCCGGAGCCCATCCGGCAGGTACGGCACCCCTGGGGCAGGTACAGCCCCCCCGGGGCAGTGTTTGCCGAGCCCTGGGCTGCTCAGGGCCTCCCTTTGCCCCTCCTCTGCTGGGCAGTTCCCCCAGCCCCTGGTGGTGCTCCCTGGTCCTTCCAGGCCCGTTCTCCTGATGTGCCCGGCAGCATTCCCAGCCCTGCCTGCAGGCCCAGCCTCGCTGGTGCCCTGCTGGCTCGCTGCAGGCAGCTCCTGCCATGCTGCTGTTAATCCCCAGGAGCTGGCAATGCGGCTTGCCCGGGGGCCTGGAGCCCAGCACGGCCGCAGTGCTGCTCCTCTGGGCCTCTCCCGCTGCCGCACGGAGCCAGCAGCCAGCAGGGGACAGCACTGCATCGCTGTCACCGGGCTGCGGCTGCCACCGGCGCTCAGCCTTGGCTGATTTGGAATCGCAGCACAACTCGGGCAAAGGCTCTGGAGAAGCTCAAAGCCTCTGGGACTTCTGGCCTGGCAAGTGCTTCCCTTGTGCCTGAAGTCACTGTGCTGGTGGTGAGAGCCAGGAGTGACCCCAGGGCCTGCCCAGGTATCCCTGTCCCTCACACTGCCCTGGCACAGCCCCTTGGCACCTGCTGTGCCAGGCTGGGGGATCAGGTGTGTGCCCACCTGAGCAGTCCCCAGGGCAGTGCTGGGTGACCCTGCTGCTCCAGAGCCGCAGTGTTCCCTGGAACTGAGATCTGCTCACGAATTACCCCAAAATCTGAACTCCTTGGAGCAAAGCAAGCCCTGGGGTGTCCAGAGCAGAGCTGCAGTTCCCAGTCTCAGCCCCAGTACCTGCCAGACTGGAGGAGGCTGCTGGAGCTCCTTATGTAACCTGCTCCAGCCAGGGACAGATGCCTCTGCAGAGCTCGAGCCAGCTCTGCAGTCTGCGTGTTCAAAGGGAAGGGAGAAGCATTCCCTTTGGAAACAGAAAGGTGTCTTGGAGCTTTTCATCACCCTCATTTCGCTTCCAGCCATCTCCAGGATTTGCTCATGTTCGGAGCCTCTTCCAGTTCCTGTGACCTTTTTCTTGGAGTGATGGAATGAATTATTATCACTTTTCTTACAGAGAGATGAAAAATCCGACAGGGGAGTGTGTTTACTCTAGAGGGATGGCAGGAGATGAGGACACTTAAACCTTCCCATGGGACTTGTCCCTGCTCTGCTTCCTCTGTGTGGTGACTGCCACAGCTCTTGGCACAGGCAGGGCTGAAAGCCTCAGCTCCTGAGCACCTGCAGCTGGGGTTAGGAAGTAGGAGGCTGTGGAGAATCCGTCCATGGGTGGCTGGCGTGGCCTTTTTGCTGTGGTACATCTCCAGAAATGCAGACCTGATAGGAGAAGTGCTTACAGATTCCCCAGTGTCAGGAAAGAACCTGTGGATCACCAGGTCCTGCTCTGGAAGTTCTGGCAGGCCTGGAAGTGAAGTGGTTTGTGATAGCTCAGCTTTGCACAGCTCCTGAGGTTTGTGTGAGGGCAGCATGTGCAGTGCAGCTGCTGTGGCAGCTCAGTTCCTGCTCCAGGGGATGTGGTGCTTCCCAGGAATGCACATTACCCAGGCAGGGAGCAGCAGGGGTTCCATTTGCATTCAGCCCACAGTGTGGCTGTGCTGCCAAGGAGCTGGCTGTGGTGCAGATGAGAGGAGTGAGATCTCGGAGGAAGCAGGGGGATGAGCTGCCCTTGTCACCTGCAATCAGTATTTACATCCCACTCAGTCCTTGTTCCACGTGCCAGGCCCAGCCAGCAGAGCTGTGCTCCTGGTGAGGCCCTGCAGGGAGCTCCCAGTACAGCCCAGAACAACCAGCACAGCCTCAGTGGCCCTGGAGCAGCCCCAGGCCCTGCTGAGAGAGCTGCCCTTGCTCCTGGCAGAGGTCAGAACCCTCCCTGGTGCACCCTGCTCATCCCCAGATCCCTGTGCCCACCCTCCCTGCTCATTACCAGATCCCTGTGCCCACCCTCCCTGCTCATTACCAGATCCCTGTGCCCACCCTCCCTGCTCATTCCCAGATCCCTGTACCCACCCTCCCTGCTCATCCCCAGATCCCTGTGCCCACCCTCCCTGCTCATCCCCAGATCCCTGTGCCCACCCTCCCTGCTCATTCCCAGATCCCTGTGCCCACCCTCCCTGCTCATTCCCAGATCCCTGTGCCCACTCTCCAGGGCTTGCACCAGGAGCTGCTCTGCTCTCTCTGGGTCAGGTTCTGCCCAGCCTCCTGCTCACTTGCTGCTTCCTTCAGCTGCCCCTGGGTGCCCAGTGGGTTGGGGCTGGCTCAGGAGGGAGCTGCTGGCACAGCCTGGGGGTGCTCCAGCCCACCAGGAAGGGAAGGCCTGCAGGTCACCCTCTGTGAAACGCTGAACACTCGCCCTGAGAAGAATGAGACAGGGCATCAGGCTCTCCTCTGGGAATGGACAGCAGTCACTGGTGTCTCTGGGGGCACCCCCTGCAAGCCTGCTGTGCCCAGGGACCACCCTGGCCCCTCAGGTAGCAGGCAGAGAGCAGCATTTCCACAGGCAGCAATCCCTCTGAAAATAGCCCAGGTCTGTGAGGGTTATTGTGGGCAGTGATCCATCTTATTGATTAGCCCGTGGTTAATCACCACCTTAAGCTGACTCCAGTGCTGTGCTAGGAGTGAGCCCTGCCTGGGAGCTGCCACCTCATCAAGCACTGGCTGATGTTCTCAGCAGAATGTGCTTGGGGTTTTTCTTCCCTAGAGGAGTAGTTGGTAGCTGTGCCTCCTGCTCCTCGCTGTGCCCGTGGGGACCATTGAGCAGCCTCCTTCCCTGGTTATAAAATCCATCACGTAATCGCTTATCCTGAAGAGTGATCAAAGTTATTTGTCAGTTCGGTTATGAAACTGTCCAATTATAGAGAGGAGGGAAAAAAATCTCCCAAACAAACCACCCCTTATGTAACTCTCTCCTCCTCAGCTGGCAGGAGGCTCTGCAGTTGTGGAGCAGGTTCCAGCAGCAGGCACAGCCTCCACCGAGGGCCTGGGGGCTGCAGGAGGGGCTCCTGGGGAGCAGCACAGGGTGGAGAGCAGCAGTGCTTCAAGGACAGGCCCCAGGGATGTGTTAACCCAATTTCTGAGCTCATCACCAGACACTGTGAAGCTTTTCCAGCTGGCAAGGTCACATCCTGCTTTGTAGGTGGGGAGAGACACTCTGCCTTTGAGGTGGGCACAGCAGCTGCCTGGAAATGGCACAGAAGTTTCTAAAAGAGGAAAAACTTTGAAGGACTATAAAAATCAACTGCCAGTCCTCAGAGTTGTCCAGGAGCCCGGGATGTGCTTGTGGTGGCACCAAGGGTCTGCTGCTGGTGTCGTGCAGCACTGGAGGGCTGAGCAAGCACCCAGTGAGGGCCCAGCAGCACTTTCTAACACTTCTGGGCTGTGGCTGGTGCTCTCCTTGCTGAGCCAGCCGCTGCTCCTGGTGGTCTGTGCTGACAGCAGGGTGCATGGGCACACTGGGGTCACAGCCAGGCTGCTCAGCCCCTGCTCACTCCCTTTCCTGCTTGCTTCCAGGCTGACATCAGGTCCAGGGAGTACCTTCGGAGGCAGCCCTGTGCTCCGGTGGAGGGGCTGGAGGCTGCCCCTGCCAGCCCAGAGAGGTGGGTGTGTGGGCAGAGGGCATCTGCTCATGGCATGAGCTGCAGTAATGGCATTAAGGGTACAGGCAGGGCAACGGGGTGAGCTCAGTGGGGAGGTCAGGACATCATCCAGAAGGTGATTTCTGCTCCCTGTGGCCACACTGCCTCACACGTGGTCCTGAGCTGGGGAAGGGCAGCAGGGATTTGCTCTTTTTTCAGCACTGCTCATAAGCAAAGCCCCAACGCCCACAGGTGTGACCTGAGGGGAACAGAAATACCTGCAGGGAGCTGGTTTTGGCCCCAGGCCTTGGGGAGGGTCAGAGTCCCCCACTCTTACATAAGGTGGGCCATGGGTGTCAGCTCAGGGCTAAACCTGCCCCTGGGTGCAGGAGCTCAAGCTCACCTAGTGCCAGTTGTTTGTGCCTGTTGGCTTCTACTTTTTCTAAAACTGCTTCTTGCTTTCTCATTTTTGTCCCTGCAGCAAAAAGGAGACTGAATCAGAGGATTAGGCTGGTGCCAGAGGAAAGTGCAGAGCTTCTCTTCACTGGGTCCTGTCCCGCACCAAGGCTGGGTCCTGCTGGGTGCAGGAGCCCAGTGCCAGCCTGGGAGCCAGCTGTGCCAGGCTGTGTCCCACAGCACAGCACCAGCCACTGCTCAGGGAGAATCCCTGCAGTGAATTTCTCAGGGTTCCTTTTCCAGTACTGTTAAAGTCTTTGTGTAAGCAAAGCTCACGTGTGAGTTCGCAGCGCCTAGGTGTGTCCCACCACACCTCTGTGGCACTCTGAGAGCCCTCCCTTCCCTCTGGTTTTGGAGCAGCTTCCCCCAGTCCCTGCAGCCTGGGCTCTCCATTCCCCCTGCACGTCCCTGGGGAGCAGCAGCCCCACTGCCCAGCTCTTGTGGAGGAAGGATCATCTCAGGGGAAAGGATGGGAGCAGCCATCTCCCTCCCAGGAGCATGGGGAGGTCATTCCTGGCACACAGAGTGCTCCAGGTGCCCGGAGCCCAGGCTGGAGATCTGTCCCAGCTCAGCCTGAGGAGCAGAGCCCAGAGCTTCTGTGCCCAAATCATCCTCAACCCTCATCCAGCCTGCAGGACCAAAGCTGAGGAAGTGACAAACCCTGGGGCCACCAGGGCAGGGCTGGGGCTGGTCCTGGCACTGCTGGGGACAGGCACTGGCAGGGCCTTCCCTAAAATGCCTTTCTGACAGGTTTTAGAAAGGACACTTCCCTAAAAAGCCTTTCTGACAGGTTCAGAAGCCAAAGCTGCAGCTCCCAGCCCTGCACAGGAGCCGCCTCTCCTGGAAGCCTCAGAGCTGCTTCCCACCAGGGTTTGTCCAGGGGTGGACAGAGCCTGCAGGGAGCCCCACAGAGGAGGCTGCTCCTCTGATCCTGAGGGCTGCTGCCAGCCTGGGGCACAGGGAGCACCGGGCTGGTGCCTGCTGCTGGCTGTGGCAGGGGACACAGGGACAGCCGTGTGCCATCCCTGCAAGGACACAGAACCTCTGCCATGGCCTGAGGAGCAGGGTGGGGACAGCCACAGCCAGCAGGGATCACTCCAGCGTTCCTCATGCCAGCCCCACACAAGCCAGTGGCTTCTCTGGCCATGGGGACGATCTCCTAAAGCCTGTCACAGGTTCAGGCACCAGTGACAGGGTGGGCAGGGGCCAGCTCCTTCCCAGAGCTCATGGCAGAGCACCTGGGCAATCACCTGGGTTTCTGATTTGGCCTGTGCTGGGAGGGCCATCCCTGGCTCATCCCCAGTTCTGGGTGACCCCACTCCACTGCAGATTGAGCCCAGGTGTGCTGAGCCAGGCTCCTCATGTGGCTCAGCCGTGCTGGGGGAGGCTCTGAGGGGAGCAGCTCCTCCAGGACAGCCCTGGCAGAGCAGGGGAACCTTCAGAGTGTGGGACTGTGGCCTCTCCTGCCCTGGTGAGTGTCTGGCTTTCATCTCGTGTTCAATGTCTGTGGTTTTAATCCCTGATCTATTGGTGGCTTTGGTGTGCTTTTGGTTGGTATCTGACAATGAGGGATTTGGGTTGGGCTGGTCAGGGGAGGCTCTGCAGCCAGGGCTGTGATTTGGGTGGCAGCTGGAGGAATTGAGCCCAGCTCAGGCAGAAGGTGAGGCTGTGGCTGCTCAGGGTCTGGCACTGTGTGCTCCTGCTGGCATCCGGGTGTTTTGATCCATGGAGGCTCCGTGTGCTCAGCCTGTGAGGGACCCAGGGCTGGGGACACTGCAGGGACTCTGCTGTCCTCAGCTGGCCTGAGCCCCCCCAGCTGCCTCTGCCCACGGGTGAGGGAAAAAATAAAAAAATACAGCATAAAAACCAGCTCTGCATCACTGCCCTGGCTTCCCTCTGCCTGAGGCTCCGAACTCCTCCCAGCCCAGGTAAACTCAGGTGACTCTGGATGAGTCACCTGGGGAGGCTTTGGTGCTGCAGTGTCCTGGCAGCCCCAGCAGCCCTGCTGGAGCCAGGGGCCCTGTGCTGTGCTTTGGGCTTTGCCTGGCCTCTCCCAGCTGCCCAAACGTGGCAGTTTAGTCCTTCCTAAAGGAAGGGACTAATCTCTGTGTTTGGTGTCTGCTTGTGGCTCTCTGGACACAATAAGGGATTAACTTGGTCTTTATCTAATTGGTTTATAACCCTGGGAAGGGAAAATCGCTTTGTAATGCTTGAAACCTCTTAACAGAAACTCAGAGACTGGAGACTGAGTGTCCTTCGAAATAAACTCATACATGGCTTGTCTTTTTTAACTCTCTGTTTGCTGGAAATTGCCTTTTCTGGGTGTAACTTGTTGGGAATCAGAGAATGGTTGTTGCTGGCTGGTTGTACATCCTCCAGCTATCACCAGGGGGTTTCTCTCACCATTTCCACCTGGGCCCCAGGGCTCGGTCACCCCCGGTGCTGCTGGGGAATGAGCTGCGGGCTGGGGCAGGGATGTGGCTGCCCAGGGACGGCTCCTGGTGTCAAACTGGGGCAGAACTGCTGTGGGGTGGGTTCTGACTCCCAGGTGCTGAATGGCTCTGCTGCAGATTCTCTGGAGCTGCTCCCCTGTTGTGTCCTGGAGAGCAGGGAGGAGGATCCCTGAGCCTGCCTTGCTTGTCCTGGTCCCGGGAGGAGGCAGAGGAGCTGCTTCAGGGTGCATTTCTGTTTGTTCCGTGGTTTCTGAGGAGGTCTGGCTGAGCAGCTCCGTGCCAGGTGCCTGAGGCTGGGTGGGATGAGCTCCCACCTCCGTGTCTGGAGCCTGTGGCAATGTAGGTGCTGCCTGTGCAGTCTGAGCTCCTGTGACTCAGGGTTTGTATTTTGGGACGCTCCTGCCGAGCACGGGGGAAGCGTTTCACTGGGATTTCCCCCCTCCCTGCCCCCCGTTCTCATTCCTCTTCCCTTTGGCTCGGTTGGGAGGGTTTAGGAGGGGCTCTTTCCCTCCTGGTTCCCCAAACCAGGTCCAGCTGCATCTCTGGGTGCTTGCCCTGGGTGTGGAGCTGGGCCCAGCAGCTGAGCCCGTCCCTCCCTCCATTCCCGGAGCCTTTGGTGTTTGTGGGGCTGGCTGGGGCAGCTGTGGCCCCTGGATCTCGGAGCATTCCCCAGCTTTGGGCTCTAAATGGGCGGGTTTAGTGCTGCTCCCTCCCTCCCGTGGCAGCTGAGGCCTCTTGGATGTGGTGGCTCCTGGGCAGAGCCCGGGTGTGCAGAGGGAGCTGGGGAACGTCATCGCTCCCTTGCAGGGCTTTTGGTTCCTTCTTTTTTTTTTTCTTTTTGTCCTTTTGTCCTTTTTTTTTTCTTTATTTTCCCCCTCCTTTTGTCCTATAAACGGTTCTCCCCCCAACTGCTCTTCCCGTTGTTGGTGTTGGTTGATCCTCCCTGATCCTCTCACCAGCCCCCCCCCCCGGCTTTATTTTAGGGCCCCATTAATTAAAAGCAAATGAGTGGAATTTCTCTTGACAAGCAAATTAATAGCAAATGAGATGATTATGAGCTGTGACATTAGGGTGATGGAGCAGCTTGTGCAGGGCTCAGCCCGAAGCAAATCCGTGGGGCAACAGCTCTCTCCTGTTGTGGGGCTGGAAGCTGCTCCCTTCCCCTCCTGGGCTGCTGGGTGGAGTTTGGGCAGCCAAGGAGACCCGGGGGCAGAGCAGGGGTGCAGGGGCATTCCTGCAGCCCACGGATGCTCTGGGGGTCCCCCATGAGCTGGGTCCGTCCATGGGGACGCGCTGGGAGTGCCCTGTCCCCACCCCGGCAGCGGGGTCAGCTTTAAAACCGCGAGCCGAGGCTATGGGAGCAGCCCGTGATGAATTCCTGGGCTGGTTCCCGCCTCGGGGGCTCGCTGCAGGATGTTTCCTTAGGAACACGCTTTTTCCTGCTTTTCTTGGCCCGCCTGCTTGGCACGGCGTGCCCGTGCCTGCGGAGCCCAGCTGGTCACTGCTCGGAGCTGGGCTCTGCTCGTGGGGCTGTGGGGAGACCCTGGGGGCATTCCCTGGTCGAGGGAGACACAAAGAGCTTCCCTCGAAAAGCTGTTAGACCCCCTTGGCTCCTTCCCCTGTTCCTGTGTCTGTTCCTGTGTCCCTGAGCCACCCCTTCCCTGTTCCCTGTTTGGCTCCGAGACCAGGTCAGCCCCCAGGCCGGGGCAGAGAGAAAGCGAGACCCCTTCATGTGCGGCTGAGGAAAACATCTGTGGTTACCATGCAAAAATCCTCCTTGCTTCCTTACCCTGGACCATGCTAGCAGCAATTCCGGCTGCTGCGGGCTGTGCTCCGAGAGCCCCGGGAACGCCGGGCTGCCCGCAGCTCCATCTCAGAGCCGGGGCTGGGTTCGTGGGTTTTGGTTCGTGGGACTGTGCTCCAAGCCCGCAGCTCCATCTCAGAGCCGGGGCTGTGTTCGTGGGGCTGCGAGAGCCTCCCGGGCTGCCCGCAGCTCCATCTCAGAGCCGGGGCTGTGTTCATAGGGCTCGGTTCGTGGGGCTCGGTTCGTGGGGCTGTTTTTGTGGAGTTGCCCGCAGCTCCATCTCAGAGCCAGGGCTCGGTTCGTGGGGCTCTCTCGGTTCGTGGGGCTGTTTTTGTGGAGTTGCCCGCAGCTCCAGCGCGGGGCCGGGGCTCTCTCGGCTCGTGGGGCTCCGGGAGCGCCGCGCTCCCCGCGTGGGAGGCTCCGCCGAGCGGCTCCCGGCTCGTGTTGTGACTGGAGCCGCGTGTCTGGCGAGGGAACAGCTCCTGCCTGTGCGGGGAGGAGGAGGAGGAGGCATCAGCCGGGCCGGGGATGGAGGGACAGCCTGCGGGAAGGGAGGAGAGGTGGTGCCGGAGCCGGCTCTGCCCCGTGCATCGCTTCAGGGACAAATATCCGCTGTTTTCCCGAGGAGCAGCGCTGCCTGCTCTAAAATCCCCAGCGATTCTTGGGAGAGCGTTTAGAGTCTGTGATAAATCTGGCGGCTTTGTAACTTGCCGGAGGGATGGTGGGCAGCGCCTCGATTAAAGCGCTCTGATTAACACACAAACCTTGTTTGTAATGAGTGGGACTGGGAGGGTGTGGAAATCCAGCTGGCGTGTAATGAGGTTACTCCAACAAATTACTCGGATATCAATTACTCCTCTAGGTAAATGTCACCTGCCTTCTCTTTGTTTGCGGTAAACTGGGATCCAATTAGCTCGACGTGCTTCTTGCTCGTGCCTGAACTGCCGAGGCAGGGCTGGGCTGCAGCCAGGCTCTGCCTCACCCGAGGGGCGCCACCGGGGCCGGGGACATCCGCGTCCCTTGGGGAAACATCCTGGCCCCTCCTGGTGCCGCCTCTGAGCCGAGTCCCCCTCGGAAGCCCCCGGTCAGGCCGGTCTGTGCGGCCGCCCCGAGCCTCCTGACGCCTCCGACTGCAGGTGGATAAATTCCGCTCTGCTGCAAAGAGGCTCCGCTCCTTTCCTTTCCCTTCCTTTGCCATCCTCCTGCCCGGGCTCTGCCAAATGCGCCGGGAGGGAGCGAGGGGAGGGAGGAGGCGGCAGGAGCCGCTCCCGAGGCCGGGTCGGAAAGGGCAGCAGGAGGTGCCGGGGGCGCTGCCCCTGCTCCAGCCCTGGGGAAGGGCTCTGGCTGTCGGGAGTGCGAGGCAGACCGAGCTGGGGCTCCCGGGCAGCCCGGGGTGCCGTGATCCTCCGGCCCGGGGCTCCTCTCCCAGCCCAACACAGGGGGCCTGGGGAGGGAGCAGAAGGGACCCGAAAGCGTCGCCAGCTGTGGAGCACACACAGCCCATCCCCGGGCACCATCATCGGTGCCCGAGACCGCCTGGGCACGGGGAGGCTTTGGGGGGGCTGGAGAGGTGTGAGCAGGGGGTGGGCACCAGCACTGGGGGCACCTGGGGTCCTGCTCCGCTTTCCGGAAGGAGCAAATCAGCGCTGCCGTGTCCCTGTGGGGTTTTCCTGCCCCACCGGGTGTTGGGGGGCAGGCCCCAGGTGTGGGGTGCTCAGGGTGCTGTCGTTGCCCTCCGGGCTGCTCCAGAGCTCTCCATGCCTCCTGCCCTGGCTGCCGCCGGCCCGGGCTGCGGGGCAGGATGAGCGATGCTCCATCCAACGCGCCGCAGGCGATCGCTGACCTCATTTCAGCAGCGCTGTGGGGTTTGGCATCTGTTGCTGACACGGAGGGAAATGGGGGCCTGGGGACCCCCCAAATGTGCTGCCCCGGTACCCCCAAGTCCTGGGGAGCACTGGGGGTGCTGGGGCAGCACAGGGTGGGCTCTGACCCCGCTGCACCACCCACTCCTCCCGTGTGCCCCCTCCCGTGCTCACTCTGCTCCACAAATGCTAATTAATCTCCATAATTAGTTTGATGCTGCATCTATTTTTAATCAGCTTTGGAAGACAGAGTCTGCCTCTGCTCCGTGCACGCCCACGGGCTGTCCCAGGGCGGAGCGGGCTCGCTGGGGGACCCTCCGGTGGGACCAGGGCTGTTATTGCCCTCTGCGCCCCCGGGAGGGGCTCGGGACCCCCCACGGGACCCCCAGCCAGAGCAGGATCCGCCCAGAGCTCCTTGGTGGAGTCTGAGATCCCAGCCCCTCCATAATCCGCTGGGATGAATAGGAAGGATGGAGGCAGCAGCTGCCAAGGTGACGTTTGACAGCAGCTGGGAAAATCGCAGGAGGAGGAGCCCGGGAAAAGGCCGTGAAAAGATTCTGAGAAGGCAGAAGCGGGGGGCAGCCCCGTGTTCTGCAGCGGGGGAGGGAGGGATGGGGTGCCCTGGTGCCCGAGTCAGCCTGGCTGGGGGAGCAGCCCCGTGGGGAGGCTGCGAGCAGCGGCGCTGGAACTGCCGGCTCTGGAACTGCCGGCTCTGGCCGTGCTCTCCGGAGGGAGGAGGGCTCGAGGCAGCCCCTGCCCGGCTGTGCTGGCCGGGATGCCCGGGCAGTGCCTCGGGGTGTAGGAAGCGATGCTCTGCCAGCACCGGCTCCCGAGTGGCATTTGAGGGCCGCAGTCGCAGCCCGTGACTCACGCCTGTGACCGGAACGCTCTGTCGGCCTTGACTCGGTGCCCGGGGCGGTGTCCAGCGGCCCGCGGTGCCCTGGGCTCGGCCCTGCTGCCCCCGCCCTCTCACGCAGGGATCCATCCCATCCTCATCCCCATCCTCAACCTCATTCTCCCCGGGCCGGGATGTCCCCAGCCCTGCCCGGCTGCGGCCTTTGCCGCCCACCTCCCCGCCCTCCTCCTCCTCCCGTGCCAGCCTGAGGGCGGCTCCTTGGAGCCCCTCGGTGTCCCTGGGGAGCCTCGGGTGCTCTCTGGCAGCCGGGACCCTC